CAAACATTAATGAACCATCTCTTCATTTCACATCTTCATTCTCACAACATTTCTCTTCAACAATTTCGTTTTCTTTGATAGTTTTATAACAAAAAGGAAAGTAACATCTATCATCTTCAAGTACTGCTAAATGAATATTGTAATCAAACATCTCTTTTACTATAAATAACATTAAAAAAATTTAGCGTTTTCATATGAAAACAAGATTAACAACAAGCCATTTTCAGTCTATGTTTTATGATTTTCATTTTTCCATAAACTTTCAAAATTCCTGGATTTTTTACCATTTTGTCAAAGCAGTTTACAGATCATTTTTATACATTAGAGTTATACTTTTTTTCATGGATTATTTCACATTGTTAGGCCCTAGAGCTGATGTTCTCTACCGCTCAAACACTACACTACTTGTGAAGTTAAGATTTTTTTCTCTTCAAATCAAATACCTCCAAGCCGGACTGTAAAAGTTCATTTTAGTAGCCGACCTTTTTTCAGAAGTCTTTTAAAATATGTTTGCATTATTTATTTGCCCAATAAGTACCACAAAGTCTCAATAGTTTCTTATTTTACTTTCGGAGGAATTATGAGCCGACCTCCACAAACTGCTTAGATAGAAAATCCCTCAGCCACATCTGAAGTTAAGCATGGGGACTGGGACGGGTAACAGGGAAAGTGCTCTGCTGCGAGCAATAATTTACTTTAACACCAATGAGAATACAAATTGGGTGAGAAACCATTCTGATCCTTTCTGTACTTTCTTACCATGTTTTTGGACTCCTTTCAAATTTTTGAGAAAATGTTGCTATTCTCCGAGGTGGAACTTTGTAGAGCAAAGTCATTATTATTTTTTTTTTTAATCTCTAAGTGAATCCTCCTGCTTCTCCTGTCTTCTTTTTTGTTCAAATTGCAGGTTTCAACGCTCTTTCTCTGAAAGCTTTCCTTGAAAGAGCTTTTTCTTCTTTTACAAATCAGAAAAGGCCAAATTTACCACAAGGGGCACTTTTAGGCACACAAATAAAGCTTTGCCTAAGGTTTATCATATGTGAAAGTACAGTTAGTTGTTTGATCGTCCTTGCTCTGACGGTTTCTCTCCGTTCTTTGGTTTTTTCCTCCCTTAAAAAGACCCAGACCTCAAATTCCACTTGAAAATTGCTTAAAAAGAGGAAGAGCACTGCTAAATTCGATTCATGTTAGTTTAAAACGGAGACGTTTTGAAATTTACGGCTATATCCATGCTGCATAGCCAATGATTCCCGGAAATTTGGGGCAAGGATTTCACTCTTCGGTTGATTTCCTTTGAAGTCTATCTGGGAAAGTATTACAACTTTTTCTTTGACAAGTCCCCATGCCCATAAACTGGCGTGCTAGCCTTTAGGAAGTGAAGACACATAAAGAATGTTACACTCGTTCAAGGAAAAGTCTACTTCAGCAAGTCTTCTCAAATTTTCACTTTTTCTCCTCCGCAGAGAAATCAAAGAGCTCTTGCAAGGGAAGAAGAAAGGACTTAAAAAAGTAGTTAATTTTCCTGGAGAGGATTTCTACGGAATTGGCCACAGTTCAATATAACAGTGTTTCATTAAGATGCTGAAAGATGAAGCATATTGAGAAAAAGACCCTCTTAGTTGGATATTACGGAGTACGTTCCTTCATGACTCACTCCACGGAGGTTCTCCATCGAAAAATATCAAACTCGTTCAATGATTAAAGAACAGTTATTTTATCGCACACCTTTAACAAGTGATAATTCTTGTTTCTTACGTAAAATGTGTATAACTTTTAAAGAAAAGATGCTTTATCCTTCAAGTTATTTAATTTACTGGTTTCATTTCATAACTTCTAGAGCGCTATTTTCATTCAATGATCAACAGCGCTTAACAACTCAAAATACTACAGTCAATTCAAATTTAGAAAACTAATTACATGTACATGAATATTAACAATGTATGTTAAAATTATGAATAATATGGAATATCCATAATAAAGATCTTAATTAGGAATAAGGATCTTAATAAGGAACTTAATTAGTATTCTAATCAGAGAATGTTTAGAAATACATTTGATAATAAAAATTAACGGTAAAAAACTACGACGTTTCGAAGTCTGCATGACCTCATTATCAAGTAAAATGTTAAAACTGATGTAAAATTGTAGCTCAGAGATTATATACAAATAAAATGTGATAACTTCATTAGAATAATGAGCGTTCATTGTTATTGGTGTTTAGCATGTCAGATCGTGCAGTATATGTTTAAATAAATACTTTTGCACGTATTGAGTCAGACTGCGTGTTTAGCTTTGGTTTTCGTTCGCGAATGAATAACATTTCGTGAAATAGGCAGTCCATTTTCCCGCGGCATTTCTTGAGAACGGAAAACATTTCCTCTAGGCTAGTGGACGCTACACTGTGGGCTTCTTTCAGATGCTTGCCAATGACAGAGGCTTTATGTTCTTCTATGCGTTGATGAAGATGGCGTGTGGTATAACCGATATAATCCGCATCGCACGAATCACATTTAAAAGTGTAAACAACGCATTGGTGGTTAATTAAAGCGGGCTTCTCTTCTTGTATCTTGAGCTTTCCCTCGATCTTACGACTCGTGAAAACTGGTTGTAGGTCAGTTCCGATTTAGGGTGGACGGTATATATAATAGTCCGTAGTGTAAAGGACCCATGCTTTATAATCCATTCTGAAAACTCGAAAGAATTACGATCACCGGCATCAACTTTATTTACATTGATGTTATCTCTGAGCAATAGAGCAGTTCCTCCCCCGATACGACCTGGTCGTGGTTGGTACAGAAGCTTGAATCCAAAAGGAGTGATCTCAACACGATGTGCAGTATCGTCAGCTGTAAGCTAGGTCTCAGTGATGGTAATAATATATGCTGCAGACGACTCCACGTAACAAACAAAGTCAGCAGATTTATTCTTCAGTGATCTAGCATTTAGGCAGCATAATCTTAATTGTTTTCCTGACTCTTGCTGATCAATGTTAACATTAACCAGAGTACGAGAGATCATATAGTTAGAACGAACAATATCTGGACGACAAGAAATAAGCACAGGGATCTTTCGCTGTCTTTTTCGTTGACCACCTCTGCGTCCTCGTTATTTAAAAATACCAATTCACTTCAATACAGCAAAAAATGGAACAATCAAGGGAACAATTGAAGCGATGCCGAATACCAAGTAATTCTGTACGGGAATATGTAGTTGTAGTTATAGAGGAACCAGGACCAGGATTTCTAAGAACATCTTTCTACACCGTTCAATGAAGCGGTGGATCATGACCAGGAATCAACAATGATAAATACCTATGCTTACTCCATTTAGATAGCGGGACTCTCATTTGGCAAGAAACCCGTTGAACTCAATGAGCGTCGAACCACTGTAGGCTGGCTTGAAATGAAGAACCACGGAAATTCATTCTTCTGCTCTCCAGTAGAAGTCCATGGATAAAATAAATAGCTGCCATCTTTAAATGAATGGGTCGAACCCAAAAATGAGGGGACTTTGCTTTGTAGTAAGGAGAAATACAGAACTAATATCAGAGCGTGAAAATTCGTGGCAGCCATCACGGGCGCCTGCGTACCTCCCTTGGTTGGATCAGTTTAGGAGACGAGCAATAAGCGACTACTCGTGATGCTGCCTTCATTTGATAGTATGCAAGGCTGATGTATTTTCTATCGTTTTCGGCCAACATCTTTTATCATAAGAATATGGTCGAAATTTGAGAGGTGTCCAGTAATGCAATCACTAACGGAAATGGCGAAATTTCGTCAAAATGGTCAAATCCACCAAGCTGATTTTGCTTTGACGAATTTGACTAAAATTCATCTAAATCGTCAATTCTGCCAAGCTGATTTTGTCACTATATGCATTTCTGGACAAATAGATAAATTTTTGATACGATTTCTCAGGATCGTCATCGCAAATAGAGTTAATTAGCGTTGTTGTTATTCTTATATTTTAATAATGATGTTGTAAGGTTGCGGTTTTGAAGTTTACGGTAAATGAAATCGAATGATTTGTATTTAGTAACTATTACTGATATTGCCAGTGAACACACTGGAGTAAACTGTTCAAAGACTAGTTTTTTGGTAACAACTTATTATTCAAGAAACCTCTCCGCACAAGTTTAGTTCAAGGGAACCTTGTTAAAAGGCAAAAGTTTCGGTCTCCAAGCCCGAATGACGACGGTAACAGTGGCTTAATAAATGTGCGAGTCATGATTTTTAACGCTCCTGGTAAACGGAAAATATAGTGTTGAAAAATTGTAAAAGGTGCGTTTAAATCTTCTAAAACTCTCACGTTTCAAAAATAAATTCCTAAATTGAAACAGCATAATGGTTAGATATTATAAAAGGTAAGTATGAAAGAATTTAAAATTACATTCAAAGTTCGTAAGAATTCTTTATTAATTTTTTGTTAGGGATAATCTCATAGCGTTAAATTTTCCTTGTGACTTTCCCCTTCATTATCATTTGCGCTTCACCAGCCCCTCTGACAGGCTAAAGTTACTGTAACAAAACAAAAAAAAAAATATTACAGATTTTTCTATGTTAGATTGAAGATGCACGGATGGTTAAGTTGTTTCATTTTAGTGTTCTTGAAGTTATTTCATCTATTAAGACTGTTTCTTTGTTCATTTAACAGTAAAAAAACAAACTAATCAAGAAAAACTTCTCAGTTCAGGCTATTCATTCTTTGGTTTCCTCGCTACGTTACTTATTTCGTTTTTAGCTATTGACAGATTTGTAGATAAGAAATATTACCATCCTTCTGTAAATATTCATCGAATGGTTACAAATTATAGTTAATGATTCGTGGCAAATGAATAAATAAAGAATTAAAGGAAGGTGTCGCAATATTGTCATAAGTATAGGTAGGGACTCTGCTTGCGCGTCTCTCATTCAAAACGTGGACAATAATAGCGATGGACTAAGCACTAGACATGGTTGCGTGGTAACGGCGGGCAGTTGGAAATGACTCGACAACAGAACTCAAAATGGCGGAAAGACAAACAGCGCGAGGTGAATGTTTCTAAAACAATGTTCTACTTTTAGCATGGACCGTTCGGTTATGGGATGTGAGAGGTTATGGAAGAGAAATTAGGACCTTTTACTTTTATCTCGAATTTTGACTCGGGAAATTTGGCCCGCGTAGAGAGAGTAAAAACTGAAGACGCTTCGTCCAGTCCAGAAGATTGTGATGGAGTTGTTGTAATAAATCCTGACTTTGATTACAATGTTTGGACGGCTCCCGACTGTGCTGGCACCGAGTTTGAAAATCTGAATCGAACATGGTTTTATTTTGGTATCAAAGGAGGCCAACCGGGAAAACTTTTACGGATAAATATCATGAATTTAAATCGGCAGGGAAAGTTGTACGGTCAAGGCATGACTCCGCTGGTAAAGGTTGTCCCATCCAAGAACAAATGGGAAAGAATACGAGATAAGCCGAAATACGAGGTAAGGCGTCCTATAAGCGTTGTAGGAACAATAACAAACATCGCTTTTTACTATTTTGGTTTCATTAGAAGGTAATCGCTAAACTTGACTAAAATTAATTAGTATCTATTGTTGAACAGAAGTGGATGATTAAAAAATTATCACGTTAGGTGTGCTTTGTTTCACTTTTCTTGTTTTCACTGAGCTGGTTTTGTTATAAAGTAACAAATCACTGCTGAGTTCATAAACATTGAAAAACTAAAACAAACACTTGTTCATAATTTTTGTGAAGGTTTGTTCGCAGCATTGTTATTAGCAATTAGGAGGGTAAAAGTAACCAGATATTCAACCTTAAGGTTTAACTTATCCTTTGAAAACATCCTATGAGTGAAAATTTTATTTTGGAATTTGCAAACAATCCAAACAATGGAAGAAAGTATTCATAAATTGTTTTTCCTTTTTCACTTCAGACTGTTGATGGCCAGTTTAGACTATCATTCACTTATCGTTTTCCTGATCAGCGCAATGGAGTGCACTACTTTGCATTCTGCTATCCATACTCATACTCAGATTGCCAAGCAAAGCTTGATGATCTGGACAGAAGCTTCACCATATGTCAGCAAATGACCCCCTCAGAACCAAAAGACTCTATCTATTTTTATCGGGAACTTCTGTGTTTCACACTGGACAGCTTAAGAGTAGACCTCCTAACAATCACCTCTGCAAAGGGCTTGATGGAGGAAAGAGAAGAATCTCTCCCACATCTTTTCCCAGACAAAAATGTTCCTAGGGCTCACAAGTTTGAAGGGAAGAAGGTAAGAAGAATCACTTTTCTGTAGAATAATGTAGAAAAAAAATGTGGTTGAAGATATCTTAAGTTTGCCATGTATGCAAATCTGAGTACAGCTTTCAAAGTAGGCTGCACCTCATGTCATGTAAGCTTGTTTACTCGCTAGCTGCCTTACACCAGTAAGTTTTTTTTTTTGACAACTGTACTTGTCAAGGGGAACTAAGACCTGTTTACCATAATGTGTAAACATCATTCACCACTTCATTGCTTTTTGGGTTAGTGACTATATTATCATTTGTGACCTTCTTTGGGAAAACGTACACTAATGATATTCCGTTAAACGTTAGAAAACTATTGGATAGCTAATGGATAGCTAACGGCTTTTCAGACGTGCTAACCGTTTGTCCTAACGCACAAACGGTTTCTCCTAACGCTCAAATGATTTGTCCTAATGCTCTAACGGTTTGTCCTAACACTCTAACGATTTGTCCTAACGCTCTAACGGTTTGTCCTAATGCTCAAATGATTTGTCCTAATGCTCTAACAGTTTGTCCTAAGGCTCTAATGGTTTTTCCAAACATTCTAACGCTTTGTCCCTACGTCTTAACAGTTTGTACTGACACACTAACGGATGGTCTGCCTGTTTCACTTTGCTCCTTATGGTTCACCCAAAATGGTGCAAGCAGTCGATTGAAAAAAGTACGGAGCAAGGAAGTGTAAAACGGTGTTGCAAAGTCTTTTTGAAAACAGCTAACTGGCTGAAGGCTTTTAACGCTCAAAGAGTCCGCTTTGACGATTGTGAAAATAACCAATGATCAGGCGAATCGAGTCTTCTTCAGACGGCCAAATCGACGTTCTGCTAAACAACAGCAATAGACATCCACACCGGTCTTCTTTTTGCAGTCCTTCTTTCTTTTTCTTAGAGCGCTGTATAATTCTAGAGACGATGCTTTTTGCAACAGTGATGATTTCTGGGCTGAGAATTCTGAAAATTTCGGTACGTGATCTGCCAGCATTTGCCAAAAAGAGTATCCGGCGATTGCGAATATATTCACCATACATGTTTCTACTTCGTTAAATCAGGGTATAATTTTATGTTATATTACGTTTGGGATCCTCAATTCCGTTCGTTATAACGGGAATTTCTTATATCGAGTTTCTTTTAATTGAAGTTCTATTCCATACAATTTACTGTAACTTTTGCCTTGCTGAGGAATATCGTTCGGTATACCGAGAACTTCGAGTTTTAAATCAAGAATTTTGAAAGCTTGGTGTTTTTTATGTTGGATTTTATCGGTTACCAGGGTAACAACCCTAAGGAAGCCTGGAGCCAAGAACAAAAACATGGCAAACGGAGCATGGATAATTTTTTTAATCTCTTCCATGAATAAAATAATAGTGTTTAAAATAAATTAAAATAATAGTGTTCCATGAATAAAATAATAGTGTTTAACTTTGATAGATCTGAAGGCCATGAGCACACCAGATATCAAGAATTTTTATCAACACGGCTCTGCAAGGTATTAATGTTCCCTAGTTGAATCCTACATTGAACTTTTTAGTCAGTTCATGCTACAGTTTCTATAACACCAGGGTAAGAGAGGAAAAAATCATTTATACATCGGCTTACGCTTTTATATACATACGACTCGCGCTCCAACAGGTAAAGGTCAGGATACTAACAGATTTACTAATGTCATTCATGGATACGACTAACGGACTGCAAAACTCCTCTAACGGATACAGCTAACATTCTAGTGGATACAACTAATGTTCTAACGAATTCAACTAATGCTCTAACGAATTCAACTAATGCTCTAATGGATTCAACTAACGCTCTAACTTAGCTCTAACGAATTCAACTAATGCTCTAATGGTTGCGGATTAGATGCTAACGAATTGACTAACGCCTCTAACGGTTTTCGTTGATTTATCTAACGGATGATTAACGGATAGCTAACGGTCTAGACAGTCTAACAGAATATCGTTAGTGTACGTTTCCCCAAAGGTCACATTTGGTTGCTGCTATTTACTTGAAGGTGTATTTGATCATCAACCCAATTTTGCTTTGTAGCCATCTTGTGTATAAGTCTAAACTGATGTAATCTCTCTTTGCAAAGTAAAAGCTATCTATTACAGTATATCCATTAGACTTCAAAATCAAAGAAGCTTCTTGTGTTCTTGTAACTGCCGAAAGGTTGTGCTTAAAACTCAATAATGAGTTCCATGTAACAATACTACATTGATTGTATGAGCCAGTAGCTTATAAAGTCTTAAAGGCTTCTGAAATTCTATCATTTGAGGAAATTTAGTCTACAATGATCTCATAGTAGCAGAAAAGTTATTAACTTGTACTTACAGGATTTAAATGTTTCCATAGGATTTGATAAATTTCAACTCTTTCCTGTAACTCTTCCAGGTGTTCTTTCTGAGTGCCAGGGTACATCCAGGGGAAACTCCATCAAGTTTTGTATTCAATGGATTCCTAGACTTCATTTTACGTCAAGGTGATCCCAGAGCTGCCGGGTTACGGGACCAATATGTATTCAAGTTGATACCAATGTTAAATCCAGACGGTGTCAAACGTGGTCATTACCGAACTGATCAGCGAGGTGTGAACTTGAATCGTGTCTATATGGATCCTGATCCTTTCCTTCATCCTTCAATCTTTGCAGCAAAAAGTATCATTTTATATCACCATACTAAAGGAAACCTGCACCGAGATTCTGATCCCCAGGTTCCTTCTGTATGTGATACGGAGGAGGCAACAAAAATCACAATAAACCTTAACAGTGCTGTTGTTGAAACTGGCACTGAATTTGCTACAAACAAAGATATTTTACATTTTCAGACATCAGTCCCTTTTGAGTTAAAGCCAGAGTTACCAGAATCTGAATCTGCAAAAATGGAATTAATGAGTGTGGCAAACAATGTATTGATAGAAAATGATGCAAACAATAACAGGAACAGGGAAACACTCTCATCAAATTTTGATTCGTTGACTTTGGAGGATAAGGAGATGTCACCTGATGTTCAGACTGGTGACTCAAATGATGGACTTCAAAACGAAACTCTTGTTTTTAATCAGCTTTCAAATGAAAGTACTAGCAGCTTGTCAAGTGAATGCCATTCAGAGAAGCAGTTAAATACAAGAACTATTAACCAGCCTCAGTTCAAAAAGGTGTTAAACAAGAAAGAACCTGCAAATTGCAGCTCCTGCTCTTTACAGACTTCACCTGAGCATAACAGTGGGGTTTCATATTATGTTGATCTGCATGGCCACGCATCAAAACGTGGATGCTTTGTTTATGCAAATTACCTGGAGAATGAAGACGACTATGTCAGCTCTATTTTATTCCCAAAACTCATCTCTTTGAATTCAACAAACTTTGACTTTGCAGCCTGTAACTTTACAGAGAAGAACATGTACAGCAAGGACAAGCGAGATGGCATGTCCAAAGAGGGAAGTGGGAGGGTTGCCATCTTTAAAGCCACTGGGATGATTCACAGGTTGGTAAAGACATGTGTAAAATATTTTACATTTAACAGATTTCTAATAATAATAATAATAATAATAATAATACACTAACTTATTATTCTTCCACCATCAGACCACCTAACCAGATTCAATTCAGAGTTTTTTTAAGAAATATTGTGCATACTTGTCGTAAGTTCATGTAATCTTTAAGCCTTTCTCTAGGAATATGTAGTTTCCCTTGTGATGGTGTGATACCCCAATGGTTTATATTTTTTCTCTCTCCTATGCATCCCTAATACAACTCACATTATATACAATATAAGGATGCTACTGACAAAAGTTAAATTGATAATCAAGACTATTTACAAATCAAAAATTCAAACATACATTTGCCTTATTTATCAGGTGAGTCTTAACTTGCATTTTAAAATCACTAAGGACTACAGAGTTCCTTGCAGCAGAGGGTAATGAATTAAAAGGAGGAGAGGTACTGTCCTGGAAAGTACCAGACTCAAGGGGTACTTTTAAGAACTTTTCCTTCAAACACCTCAGTGTCCTTGTTGGAATATGAATGTCTAGCTTAAGATGAGACCTTCATAATCCAACACGGACACTGAGATAAGACGGCCAGACGTTGTTATAGTGCTAGGCTTAAAAAGCAGTTTCAAGTAATTGATTCTCTCTACATTTTTTTATCGGCATCAATCCATATTTTGCAATAAGACAAGGTGTATTGATTGTTATTTGGCAACTTTTGAACATCAGTGTGATTTCTCTATCAGTTATACACTAGAGTGTAACTACAACTGTGGTCGAACAGTCAACTGTTTGCCGCCTGCTACATGCGACAATGGATGTGCTACTCCACCTCCCTTGCCTGGCTTCCCACCCAAGTATACACCAGAGATTTATGAAGAGGTAAAATGAGGTCACCGGTCTGTCTAGTAGTTACTTTTTAAGATGAATTTGTTGTTAATTATGTATGTCACAAGTTGGCAAATCACATTATTTTGAGATGTGGCATATAAGAGGTCAGTACATTGAAAACTTTATTGAGAGACCTTGATTTAAGCCTCGATGGGGCAAGTCTTGTGTTCTTGAGTGTGCTACTTTCCTCTCACAAACCTTCCCTCTCCACCCAGGTCTGTACATTTGTATTGGTGAGGTTTATCTGTGGTGGACTTAGATTCCATCCACCTAGAGTAATGATACACCAAGTGGCTTAATGCAGAGGAAAATCAGAAAACCTTGTGGTATTGTGGGTCACTTGGCCTGTGAGCAAAGTTTTAATGTTTTATTTTTGCCATTTCTTGTTGACGACAGGTGGGGCGAGCAATGGCAGTGGCTGTACTTGATATGAACAATACCAACCCATGGACACGACTTCCTCTCAGCGAGTTTACATCTTTAGAAGGAGTCAAGAATTGGGTCAGGCGGTTTGTGAAGAGTTCTAAGAATGCACCCTCAGTACCCAAGAAACTCTGTCGAGTTATAACTAAAACCTCAAGGTATACAAAGTTCTATGATAATGGATGTTTATCCTCTAAATAATCTTATTAACCACTGATACTCAAGGATCTGTTAGAATTAAGACATAAATTTATGTAGTATTACTTGTTTGCTCAAAACATGTTGAAACAGCAAAGTAGGGAAGGGTGATATCCAGTCAACTCGAGCAAAGGATCTTATTCAATGAAGGATTCATCCTTTGGCTTATGGATTACAACAAATAATATCAGTCTATTAATTTTTGTTGTGGACTGTTCTTTGAGTTTACTTCCTTCAAGACATACAGCTGATATATCACTCTATATCCAAAGATAGAGTAAGGGTAGTAGATCAGAACATAGGATTTGCTTCATCTTGCATGCTCAAAGAGCTTGCCTTATGATAAAAGGAACCATTCCATATTTTTCCTTTAAGTTTCAAGAGGTATCAGGTAAAAAACCTTATATATTTTTAGGTACAGAACCAACAGTTTAATAGAACTGATGCAGTGTAACTGGTAATCATTCCATTAGGCCTTGTCACTTTCTCAGACTCCATTAATATATCATAGATTTGTAAACAGGGCTATGGCAGTTCATCAATAGACTTGATCTGAATACTTTTCAGTATGGTGGCAGGAGCAACAGCAAGTACACGTCAGAAGTTATCTGTATTGGCAAGTTCATCCAGTGATATGTCTTCGGTTAATGCAGCAGGGGGAGAGCACAGAGCAACAGATCATCCACCACAGAATGGAACAAATGTTAACAAGGAAGCTGGTACATCTCACTTGACCATTGTCCATTTATTCTCTACCTATTGAAAGTAAACCTTGATATTCTTAACATTTTCAGTTTGCAAGGGTGCAAGATGAAACAGTTCCCTGGTCCTGTTTGACTACCTTACATGACAAGTCCTGTAAATGTAGTACTGTTTCAATTTAGACAAAATTAGATTTTTCTGCCATCATCTTTTGATGTTATGATAAATCCTTTATGACCACTCATGTTTGTTGANNNNGTCTCAGCCTGTCTTGGTTCTCCTGAGAAAAAAAATGGTTGAGTATTCAGCCATCTTGACCACATGCCTGGTCTGTAAGACATACATTGTGTAGAAGGTTTATAACTACTAAAATATTCCTTAAAGTTAAGGTAAAAAGTCAGCTACTGATACTGTCAGGCGGCCATATCACCTGGCAGGTACCAGGAAGACATCCTTGCAAGGAACAGGGACCCAGAGTGGAAGGAACCAAGATACATGCTCTTCTTCACCTGGAACTCTGTCAGGAGCCACCGGAAGAGATCATTTACCTGGACCAGGACCTTTGAGAGTGCCAGTGAGTCAACTGCCTTTGTTTTTTTTTATTTACATTGTGTGACTTTTATATTTCAATAACTTGTACTGGATATGTTGGGATCCAAACGGTTGTTGCAAAAACTAAGACCCCGAAAACTAAGACCTAAGACCCCAAAAAGATCCCCCGTCTTTTCATTGATTTTCACTTTTCTGGTGGGTCTTAGTTTTCATAATTACCAAAACATATTATGAAAACTAAGACCCCATCTTATTTTTCTTGTTAATCAATTGTATTTTATTTTAATAAATAGAATATGCTGAAATGTAAAAAGCGAATAATAGACAGCAATTAACACCCTGTCTTTTCAATGATTTATCACTTCACCAGTGGGTCTTAGTTTTCGTAATTATGAAACTCATTACGAAAACTAAGACCCCATCTCATTTTTCTTTATATTTATCAATTTTTGGAAGGTGAATGGGAGAGTTCTTACATCATCTTCATTTGTTGCTTTTTCGATTGGATCGAAGAACCTGGTTGCTTTAAGATTAAGTGGGATTTCCTATAACCTTTCCTTGCGTTTTGAAGTATTTTCTCACGCGACAGGCGATTCTTAATTTTCCTCCAAGATACTGAGCTATTTTTGAATCATTCTACAAGATGCAAAAATAATTGAACTTAATGAGGAAATTTTTTTTAAATGGAATAGTTCAGCCTTAATCAGGGTTTGCCCACTTTATGAGTAGTGTCGTTAGTTGTAAAATGGAAAACGTTTTTTATCACATTTCAGGTGGGATCTTAGTTTTCGAAAAAAATATTGTTGCAAGTTGCATGCACAACTTTTATGTGTATCATCCCTTCATGGAACTGAATTTTTTTTAAATTGCAGGAAGAGTTGAATCATTTTCTACTTTCTGCAACAATTTTTTTCAAGCTGCACAACAAAATTGCTTGTAGTATGGCTCTTACAACTTGTTCTGCCACACTCTGTAGTCGACATATGCTTCATTTTCAACTTACGCAATTTTTGTCGTGAGACAAGTTGCATGGTATTTGTAACGTGTAACATGGTACGTGCAACTTGTAACAAATTTTGTTGCAAGACAAGTTGCAGAAAAAATTGTTGCATGTAACAGGAGCTTAACGACAGTATAAAGTGTGCAAACCCTGATTAATTCTGAACTGTTCCATTTGAAAAATTTCCTTAAGTTTCACTATTTTTGCATCTTGTTGAACGACCCAAAACAATTACTGTGTATTATTCAATTTACTATTCATACGCTTTTTACGTTTCAACATATTCTCATAAAATAAAATAAATAAACAAGAAAAGTAAAATGGGGTCTCAGTTTTCGTAATTAGCTTTCGTTATTACAAAAACTAACATCCCACCTGAAATGTGATAGAAAACGTTTCCAAGAAAAATAAGATGGGTGTTAGTTTTCATAAGGAGCTTTCGTAATTACGAAAAGTAAGACCCACCAGAAAAGTGAAAATAAACGAAAAGACGGGGGTCTTAGTTTTCGGGCTCTTAGTTTTTGTAAGAACCGGATCAAACCTATGAGTGAGGTTGGCTGTATTGTTTGACTTTCTCTTTCTATTGTCTGATATTATCTTTATAATATCAGACATATTAGGAAGTACTTATCCAGAAGTAGCACCGAAACACTAGTTCATGCATTTATAACAAGTAGACTTGATTATTGTAACAGCCTTCTGTGTGGGTTACCGAAATATCAGCTGTCTAAACTGCAGCGTGTTATGAATGCTAGTGCTCGTTTGGTTTATTGTGCTCCGAAGTCGTGCCACATCACGCCTCTACTTCGCAAATTACATTGGCTGCCTGTTTGTTATCGTATCGAATATACAATAATTCTTCTTACAATTAAGGTATTGCATGGTATGGCACCCGACTACTTGGGCCATTTAATATCTGTCTTGCCACCGTCTAGGTATAATTTAAGGCGCAACGGTGACTCCGCAGCTTTATTTACTCTCCCGAAAATAATATCCAAGAAGACCCTGGCAGATAGATCGTTTAGTTGTGCCGCCCCTAGACTTTGGAATCTGCTTCCTACCACAAACTGCGCGGTATAAATTTAAATTTTATAATAATATTGGAAAATACATGTCTGAGTTCTAGTAATGCAATGGGACATTTTGCAGGTATAACTTTAGAAAGGCCAGTTAATCATTTCAATCTTTACTTGTAAGCCTCAACTTTATGTATTACAACCAATAACAATTTCCTACCTTACTTCCAAACATAATGAATAAATGTTGGCTTTTTGTACACTAGAATTATTTATGCTTTACTTTTATTAAGGTACTTAAAGCAAAAGAACAACTAAGAGTTTCTTTAGAACTTCCTAAAACGGTAAGTAGTCCAGACTGTGACTAATCTTGTGTTATATGCTGTAAATGTCTTCATACCTTTTTCTGAAAGACTCCATGAGAGCTTCAAGGACCCCTAATGAGCAACTCAATAAATACAATTTATTAAAGAAACAAAGTATATCTGAGATGGAGATGGAGATGGAGCATGTGTTCTACTAAGCTTGTACCCAAGCAGTGTCAAATGCTTGTGAATTTAGGAACAATCTAAAAGTATGTAAAAGCCTATCTGTCACTGGCCAGAAGAAGCAGAGATTTTTAGGAATAGTATTATTGCTGAGGGTTGCAGTGATCATAAATTTGTTAATAGCCAGCATCTTTGAGTCACATTCTTTTTCACAGGCTGATTGTATTTTACTTTTTTTTGCATACATGTTTACGTTAAATTTGTATTATGACAGGGTCCAACTTTGAGGTTAGTGCACAACTTGCATCATCAGCCCCAAGTTTATGTCCAGCCAACATCATTGCCCAGCAAATCTCCATCATCTTCTGTTGAGATTAAAATGAGGTAAAATCAAACTTAACTTGTACACTTCATGGAACTTAATTCTTTGTGATAGACTGCTTAAATGTATAGATCTGTCAGTACAAGTTTGCAAGTACTTGCTCCAGTACTTGCAAACCTCTTTGTGGGACATCATGAAAAAAACTGGCTAGATAACTATTGATTCTCTGAAGTTCTGTTCTACAGACGCTATGTTGATGACACCTTTTGTTTGTTCAATAGCGAGGAGGACACGCTCGTGTTCTTTGATTATATCAATGCCAAGCATCCTAGTATTCGTTTCACAATGGAAAAGGAAATTGATAAGAAATTATCGTTTCTAGACATATCGTTAGACAACAGTCATACATCCATCATCACTAGTGTATATTGCAAGAAGACGTTTACTGGTCTTCTTACTAATTATTTCAGCTTTGCCCCTTTGATTTACAAATTAGGTTTAGTCACAACATTGATTGACAGAGCATGTAAGATCAATAATTCCTGGGTTGGTTTTCATCTGGATATGTCAAGAAACTTATTTTCTTGCTATGGAAAAATTGTTATCCATCTTGGGTCATAGACAAGATCATTTACAGGTATCTAGTGAAGAAAAATAATCCTTCTCCTACTGGGCAGAACACCTCTTCTAACTCTGGTAAACCTTCTTTGCACTATTATAAACTTCCCTATGTTGGTTGGTTTTCTAACATCACTCAGACTAAGTCAAGACAACTACTCAAACGTTATTGTAGAACTGATTTAGATGTTAAGTTAGTCTTCAGTACATTTTAACTCAGAAACACGTTCAGTGTGAAAGATTCAGTACCGCTGGGTCTACGTTTTTGTGTTGTATATAAATTTTCGTGTGCTGGCTGTAATGTCAGTTATATTGGTGAGACCACTCACCACATTTGTACACGAGTTCGTGAGCACCTCTTGTCGGACAAAACTTCACATATTTACAAGCACCTACAGTCATCAAGAGGGCGTGTCTTGACTCTTGTGACACTGAATGTTTCACCATCTTAGATTCTGCCACTTCAAAATACCAAATTAAAATCAAAGAGGCATTGTGGCATTATGGCATTGAGGCATTGAGGCATTATGGTTAGCTCAATTGGGAGAGCGCCGGACTGCTGTGCGGGAGGTCGAGAGTTCAATACCGGCCGGACCAACACTCAGGGTCTTAAAATTAACTGAGAAGAATATGCTTCCTTTCTTGTGGCATTATGACATTGTGGCATTGAGGCATTATGGTTAGCTCAATTGGGAGAGCGCCGGACTGCTGTGCGGGAGGTCGAGAGTTCAATACCGGCCGGACCAACACTCAGGGTCTTAAAATTAACTGAGAAGTAGTTATATTGGTGAGACCACTCACCACATTTGTACACGAGTTCGTGAGCACCTCTTGTCGGACAAAACTTCACATATTTACAAGCACCTGCAGTCATCAAGGGCCTGTCTTGACTCTTGTGACACTGAATGTTTCACCATCTTAGATTCTGCCACTTCAAAATACCAAATTAAAATCAAAGAGGCATTGCATATTAAGTGGGAAAAATCCATTCTTAATCAGCAATTGAAACATCTAGAATTGTCTCTTTCCTTTAATTATGTTGTTCCTTGGTCTTTTATTTTATTATCGTTATTATTTTATTATTATTTTTTGGATCTAGTCAAGCATGCGCTATTTACATTTTTCACATTTATAACATTAAAATGTAACGTAGGCCCTGACACGTAATTTGTAACATACCTTATTATAAATTCAAATGTACAACCGTTAAATGCTCATTTACAACTGAAGATGACATGAGAATGTCGAAACATGTTGTAAATTTAAACTCAAAGTTGTTTCTCTTTTGAGAGTTATAGATCTGTCAATATTACAGGTTGTCCAGACCTCCGTTTTGAATTCTAGAAGAAGTATAAGCATTTTTCAACTGATTTCAAGCTCTAGGAAAAGTGTGCGTGATAAATTAAAGCATTCCAAGAAATGGGAAAAATCTGGAATTCTTTCAAAGCACCAACTAATGTTCATGTGCTTGATGAAATTTTCCATTTATATTGGCTGAAGAGATTTACCGCTTAGTTCTAAAAGAACAATAACAATTTGTTTGTTTTCTCAGCACTATTGATGTCCACAAGCAATTCATTGGTTTTCACAGAAGCATACCTGGCCCTGCATTAAGGAATGGTCACAGCAGCCATAGTGATGAAGAGAAGAAAAAAAAGAATGTGCGACCAAGGAGGAAAAATGCAAAGAAAAAAGGTAATTTAGGTTGTTTAATACGAGGTCCATGAAGTTTATTACACAGATCTTTTATTCTAAGAGACTACCATTTACTTTTAATAACTTTTTCAAAATTACATTTGTATTAACAAATAAAATTGGTATAACCTATGGTGCATCAGTAGGACTAACTATGGGAAACTCTGTGTTCTTTCAACCGTGAAAAAATCTTTAGTTCTTTGATAGATGAACATTTAAAATCTAGAGTTGTACTTGCTTCAAGGATCCTCTCAAACAATCCAATATTTTCAACTAATGATTTGTATATTGATATACTTGAAAAATAAGTTAATGAGTGCCTAACCCATTACATTTTTGTTGTTGTTTCCTTGAGCTTGTATGTTCAAGTAAGCGTGTGTACTATTTCTTCTGCATTTTTTGAAAAATTACCACCTGGCCCAGCCACTTAGCTGGAATGGCATTTGCTATTTTTAAAAATCTTTGCTCAATCTTTCTCTATGGTCAATTTTGTTTTGATTCACTTATTATAAATAGCTTTTGTTTTTGTTTTTTTTTAATCTGAGAGTTTATATAATATTATTGTACATCTTGATATAAATTTTACATGCATTAATAAAAACAATGTTGCTCACTTTAATTTCTTTTGTTTACACTATCCAGAAAAAAATGGTGAAGCAGTGGCTAGTGATAAAATTCAACTCTCCAAAATATCTTTGTCAAGGTAAGAATTTTGCAGTTTTTCCTTTATTAAGCAGGCCCTTATGGTGCCCCCAGTAGTACCCTTGCACTCTAGTGAAGTGCTTTCAGAGAAGTTGACCAGTGAGGATTCTTCATAACAGTTATTCATGTAGTTGTTCAACATTGTCCTTCAGTAGGCCCCCAGGAGAAGAGGATGTCCATTTCAACACTGTGGAGAAAGAAGACGATGGAATGTCCAAGAGTACTCAACTTTCTCGCAGGAACAGTTCAAAGAATATGGTTAGCAATAACAATTATCAGTCATAATGAAGGAAGGAAGCTCAACAACACAGCTCAGATATGCACCATATCTAATTAACATGTCCAGGGCATTTTTTAAAATCCCTTTTGGCGATAAAGGGCTTTTTCCTCAGTAACAGTTCCCATAAAATCCAAGAGTTGTACAAGTATGGTCGTTCAGTCTGGCCATTGATATTGATTAAACGTTCTTATTCACATTTGTTGTTAGATAAGCTGTAGCGTGATGTCTTGTGAAGTTGTGGATATCAAGGAGCTACCACACACACCTCAGAGTAGCAGTAGCACCAATCCTGTGAAATTCTGGCCAAACACATCTGTCAGCTGACATAACAGGAATGAAGAACTACTTACTTACTTTAGTTTCAGAGTGGAGATGTCTTTAAGTGTCTTTAAGTTAACCTTAAAATTTTATGTGGATTTTACAATATGAGGTTAAAAGTTTTTGTCGTAAAATTTATAGGCATTGTCTCAGATGGACTTGGATGAATTAAATTTAAGATGATTTTTATTTTATTAATACTGAGGGAAACAAAGTGGAAGACATTTAACTTTTTTAGTACTGCATGTAGGTCAGTGGTATCATATTCTGATTGGAGTGCTCACTGTTAATTATTGCAGGATTGCTTTTATTTGCTTCACTCCAGTATTGGCCAAATGGAATTTATACAGTACATTCCCAGCTAATCAGATATTTTCCTCCATTCTGATAGGCCTTGTGATAACTTTGATATTCATTTTGTAGTACCTAATCAAAATTTGCGATGTGAGCAGATTTTGTTGATATCACCAACAGTTATGCTGTATTCTTTCACTAAAGAGATTTAGAGTGCAGAGTGAGTGTGTTTGTGATTTGTGAACAAACATTTAAAACATGTTCATGGTTGCATTTTAATGTTAGTTATTATTTGCTCTTACAATGAGCATCAAGTTATTGTGGTGAGTTGATTGAACATGTATGAAATGTTGAACAAATTCAGTTAGAACTGAAGTAAGGTTGTTTATGTAAAATCACTGTTGCTCTTTCTTATTGGGCTGTTTTGAAAGGCACATGTTGACAATTCCCTTAGTGATTTAAAAAAAATTGAAAAAATAAAAACAAGATTTGCAATCTTGTCTAGCCATGTTTTCTTTCTTTAACGTTTTTCAACTACATGCTTTGATTTTTAGTTGTTCTTCAATTCTCCTATAACTATTCCAATTCTAGTGTGTCCTTTTTGAGTTCCTTTTCTTTGCAACCTGCTGTTCAGCTGCTTTTTTTTTTTTTTTTCATTTTGTTAAGTTGGTCTCATGAATAATGAGTTACTACTGTACTCTTTAGCAAAATTAGACATGGACAGAGCTAAATAGTAAGTGAAGGAGGAGGGGATGGGAGCAAGCCCAAAACACCTAGCTATCTATGGGCATTTCATGCAATTATCAAACTTGTAAGATGATCCTCACAGGATCAATTTTCACTCTCCCACAACTTTGAACAGTATCCTTTATTTTTCCAGATTAAATTTTTTTTTTCATAAGAATACCTTGCACTGATATTTTAACTGCCCTTAAATAGGAGACACACTAGATACCCTTGGGTGAGTCCTTCAAGATATGTTAGCACACCCTGTATATGCACTCGTTATATTTTTTGGTTAAAGCATGTTATCAACCATTACTTTAATTTTTGTAAAACAAAGTATAAAAGTTATATTAAGTTCATATCAATTTTTAAAACATTTACTCAATTCATATTTTTACAAGTGTAAGAATACTGATCAGTGCGAGACTTGGAAAACCATGAACACTGGTTTCAGTCTGTTGTTCACAGTGATTGGTAGATAACATCATTTCAACAAAAGATCTGTTTTATTATATTTTTTGTTTTGTTTTCCAATGAAAAGACTGAAAGTATTGTAGGCACACAAAAAATATCCAAGTACATCCATACAACCATCTTTATTTTTGAAAATTATTATAACATAAACTTCACCTGTGGATCTTAGAAAGTAAAATGTCTAACACTTAAAGATGTGGTTTGTTTTGTTTTGTTTCTGTTTTTTTTTTCTGTTTTCTGAAAAAATAAAACTCAAAGTACTGTACACACAAACAATCCTTGTGAACTTCAGATACCTATTTTCAAAGAAGGCCAATTTGTAAGAGTATGCCACACCGTTCAAGATATTTAGCACGCAAGTTGTGCTTTAGCAGAAAATAGTTAAATTATAGGGTTGTTCAGGTATGTGTACGGCCGAAAAACGACTGTTGTTGATTTCTGACTTTTAAACTCCATTCATTCTGACTTTTAAACCCCATTTATCAGCTGAAGTGGTTGAAACGTCCGCTACTTTCATCATAAATAGACCATTACAAGAAAATCCTGAAAAAAGATGATCATACCTCAGGCCGATCCATCATTGATATCAGCTGGTTGACAACCCATTTAATTCATTGAGCAACAAAGAACTGCAAATTATGAGCATGTTTTGAAATAACAATTTCTAATGTCTTATAGCTAACACTTCCTTGCAAATCAGGTGCCCTAACTACACTTAACTGCTAACTCGAAAAACTCAATGGACACCAGTTAATTAGTAGTGATCGTAGTTGCCATTGGACTGAGTTACAAATGTGAGGGGGATCTGCTCTTCGGCTGGAGTTGTCTTTCTTTTCATTTCAGCGCTGTTTCTCTCTTTACGTCGTCTCATTTGAACCTGAAGCTGCAGCTTGTTAGTGAAGAACACTTTCCTCCAGCCGATTTCTTTCGCTAATGATCGAGTTTCGTCGTTGATGGTATCACAATGGGATAGAAAAATCTTCTCCCATAACTCGTCGCTTGAGCAAACTTTCCGAAGAGACCGGCACACTGATCCCAGCCTTGCGATGTCGACAAGATCCAGGAATGATAACATATGAATGAGGACATTTTGAGGAAGGCGGGCTAGCCAGTCTTTACATATTATGCTGTGTACAAGACGGAGCGTGTCTTCGCCAAAAATACGGTTGATGTCTGTCTGAANCCTGATTGCTTGACATATTTATTACTAGTTTTTTTGTGCATTTTGGTGGTTGTTTCTCATTTGCACTGAAAGAACTTATTTTAAGGGGGTATTTTTGTTAGCTCAACCCCCTAACTCCCACAATCTGATTGTGAATTCTCCCCTCTAGCTGCCACACATTTCCTTGTAAATTAGTTCCGAGAATTTGCTGTCAGATCAAGATTGCAACTTCTACCTGATGCCTCTGAATATTCTCATTACCTGTTTTCTGGGTAACGTATGGAAAATGTGCAGGAGAAGTTACATGTTAATCCCTTCTGGGAGTGTAAGGGTTATTGGTAACCTATTTTAGCAAGGTAATATGGATATATCAACAAAGTTGAAATGGCTAATTTACCATTTCAACTTTGTTGATATATCCATATTATTTCGTTACTCCCACCGACGCAGCCCCAAACAGTTTCTTTCGAAACTATCAGCCTTTATTCGTATTTTAGCAAGGGCTTGACACTAACTTTTCAACTTATTAGCCAAGTGGCTGGTGACATCTTAGATGCTATGACAATGTCAGTTTGTTTACTGGCCAAACTGGCTGGTGGAAACCGAAAGCCACCAGCCAAAACTGAATTTCTACTAGTCTGTGGCCAGTGGGCTACCGTTACTGTCAAGCCCTGTCAGCAGTAGAGGCATCCTACAAACCATTAACCCTTCAAAATCTCATTCAGAATTCTCCTTACTGTCTGCTAAACTATTCTTATGATGTCCATTTGGAGAATTTAGCATTGATCCACCAATAATCCCCTCATTGATAGTTTTCTTTATTCTCGTCAGTGGTCTGCTTGATATTGTATTGATTCAGTAAGGAGAAATTCTGTCTTGGTCACTGGTGGGAGTGAAAGGGTGAACTCCAAAGAGCGACTGGCATCTATTTTCTCTAGACATTATCTCTTCAGAATCAAAAATTCAGGTTATAAGATCACAGGAAATGAAAACCTACTCAAGAAGCTCTCAATTGTATAACAAATTCTCCTTGTCAGTACCTTTGAAAAAGTGTAGAGAACAGTATGGAGAATATGCATATTGATGTGAGGGTGTATAGGGTTAATAACTGAGTTTTTGTTTTTCTAGGTGGATGCAACAGTTATCCCCCAAGCTATGGTGTCTGTTTTTTTTCCTTTATTTATGTGAAGTTCTGGTGCTGTTTGTTTATCTAAGAAAATGGGAATCACACTGGAAGGTATGTGAGTACTGAGAAATTCTAAAAGATAATGTCCTTGAGATTTCTGATGTGTGACTGTCATTCGAAGAGACAGAGATTGGATAACATGATCATTCAATCATGCATAAATCTACTAGTCATTGGCACCTGAATTTGTTAGCTAGCTAGTACCTGGGGTGTAGGTTTAAATCTGATTGAAGCCTGAGCTTTTTTTTTTTTTAGGCTCTTTTTCTGCAATTCCTTATTTAAATTTAAGCCCACCTGTGAGGAATATCCTGTTTAAATTTTTGTCGTATGCTTCTCACTAAAATTTAAATTTTTGTCGTATGCTTCTCACTAAAATTTAAATTTTTGTTGTATGCTTCTCACTAAAATTTAAATTTTTGTCGTATGCTTCTCACTAAAATTTAAATTTTTGTTGTATGCTTCTCACTAAAATTTAAATTTTTGTCGTATGCTTCTCACTAAAATTTAAATTTTTGTTGTATGCTTCTCACTAAAATTTAAATTTTTGTCGTATGCTTCTCACTAAAATTTAAATTTTTGTNCTTCACCTATAAGCCGATCTCGGCTATAAGCCGAGACCCTGACTTTCAGGGTCTTTACGCTACACTCAAGCTGCCCAAAAAAAAAGGTAAAACCATCGGCTATAAGCCGAGAGCGAAATTATTGATTGTAACTGGCCATTTGAGCAAGCGAACCTCACGGAAAACATAAGAAATTGACTCACTAAACACAAAACCTAATGAATTACAATAAACACAAAAGAAAAAAAGCGAACCAATCAAGAGATATGAATATCAATTGATCCAACGAACTGTATAAATACTACCACGCGACAACAGATTAACCACAACAACAATAATAATCTCAGTTAAACGTTTCAAAGTATCAATCTATCGAGTATACCTTTCGTCGCTGTCACTTTTTATCATCATGCCTAAAGCACGCCGTTCCTCGTATAGTATGGCTTTCAAGATAAAAGTTATCGCGGAAGCTGAAGCGGTAGAAAACAACTCGGAAATCGCTCGAGAATATGGACTAAGCGAGTCCATGGTACGACGCTGGAGAAGAGACCAGGCGACTATTCTTTCCGGAGAGCTGAAGATGTCTGCAAAACGTGCGACGATGGGCCGTTTCACTCCGAAATATCCCGAACTAGACCAGCAAGTGATGGAGTGGTTTTCACAGCAAAGAGAACAAGGTTGGTATTTACTTTTCTGTCTAAAATTTTAAGAGTTTTTGAAGAGTTGAATGATATCGTCTTTCAGTGCGTGGGAAACAGAGACTTTGATTGGTCAGAAATATGTTGTTGTCATGACAATTTCATAACATGTCACGAAAAGAGTGCTGCAGTCACGAATCTACGGTTATCTCGCAGCAAAATAAGATTGTTATTTTATTTTTCGTAGGTATTGCGGTGAGTGGATTGATCCTTCGCCTTAAAGCTAAAGAGCTCTCCGATGATCCTGCTTTCAAAGCTTCCCGTGGATGGTACGAGAAATGGAAACGACGCCACTCGGTCAGCATGCGAACCAAAACAACTCTGGCCCAGCGATTGCCCGCCGATCTCGAAGAGAACATTGTGTGCTTTCATCGCTTCGTCATTGCAGCAAGAAGACGCGCCGACTACCCTTTATCCCGCATCTACAACATGGATGAGACACCCATGCGTTTTGAGCTGCCATCGAACCGAACACTGGAATTCAGTGGAAGCCGAACAGTGCCAGTAAAATCTTGCGGAGCGGAAAAGCGGAGCTTCACCGTCGTTCTTGCTGTTGCTGCCGATGGAGCAAAGGTGCCACCGAAAGTCATCTTCAAAGGCGTCCGTACACCGAGAGATCTGGTTGTGCCGCATCCTCTTCGTGTTTCCTTCCATAAGAAAGGGTGGATGGATGAACAGGGCATCCGAGAATGGATTCGACAGAGTTTGCCCCGTGCCGAGCGTTCCCTTTTGGTGTGGGACTCATTCCGAGCTCACTTGACCGATTCCGTGAAAGATGACCTGAAGCAGCGAAACATTGACGTCGCAGTTATCCCTGGTGGCCTAACCCCGGTTGTACAGCCCTTGGATAAGTGCCTAAACAAGCCATTTAAAGATAATGTGCGCCGAAAGTACTTGGCGTGGATGACATCTGGGCCATTTGAGTTTACCCCAGCTGGGAAGAAGAAGGCGCCAAGCAGAAATCTTGTCCTCAGGTGGATCAAGGAAGCATGGGCAGAGATACCCGAAGAGATGGTTGTCAAATCCTTCAAGACCTGCGGTATTTCCAATGCCTTGGACGGAACAGAGGACGACGTGGTCTACTCTGAGGAAACCCCAGAAGTAGATGATGAATACATAGAAGAGAACGAGTTCGACACAGACAGCGAAAACGAAACGGATGGCGAGTAAACCATTGGGTTGAAAGCCCTTGCACGTATCCGTCAAACGGCTCCTTTAGGAGCCACCAATTTCATAAAAGTGAATAACCAATATTCAGAAGTTATTTTTGTTGTGTTTTATTACTTCTGCTTCATTGCTAACTTGACTACAAGCCGGGGGGGTAAAGTTATTCAGCAACTGTATATTTTTAAAATGTAAAACCCTCGGCTATAAGCCGAACCCCGTTCTCCGTGAAAAATCTCCCAAAATTTTGGGTCGAAAACTGAAAAAATCGCTCGGCTTATAGGTGAAGAAATACGGTAGTAATTTTTCAAAACAAGTTAAATTTATTTTCCTTTATTTTAAGTTATGATTTGCTGTATTTGCTTCTACCCTTCCATGTACATGATCTATGAAAACATGTTCTGTTGCCTATTGCAGTTCAATGTTTTGACAGAATAATTTCAAAGTTTTCTGGTCCATTTGAGTGAAGGTTTTGCATTCGCCTGCCCACTTGAGAAGGTTTTTGCTTTTGTTGATGGTGTTCAGTAATGGCACATTTGCAGTCATCAAACAAGGCAGAAATTTTAACGGTGGTGTGCCACTGTCCACTGACATATGAAATAATTAGGTGATTCACCTCACACAGCTCTATTTGTTTACATGGGTTGGAAGAGTGTGGCGCTTTAACCTGAAAACAATATTGAACAACTGGACAGGAAAAATTAAAAAGTTTTATAACATAACTAAAGTAAAGTGTGCGCTCTGATTGGTCAATTTAGCGTCCCCCATTTGCCCATGGGGTGTACGCTGCTGACGTGGGCAAATGCAAAGACTATTTTCCGTGTGCACTTGTTTTTTCTGGTCACGTAAGATTTGTTAAATAAAAGGGAACTCTTTCGCTACAATGTATCAATGTTAAGTTATAAAACAAATGGTAAACACCCCAGCGTACACTATTGAGTTATGGATGCACTTGGCAGGTTTGCTAAGCACCCAAGAAGCTAGAGTCGCTCGAGGCGATAGCCGAGAGCGACTCTTAGGCTTCTTTC